TGATAGTAGAATCCTCTGCACAGGGGTAACTGGTCTGCAAGCTGAAGGCACAAGTTTCCACCAGCTTTTACTCCTATAGAACATAGGAGAGAAGCAAGAACTATCGAAAGAATTTCAAAGGAAGCAATGAACTTAAAGAAAGTGCCAGATTTCAGACAAGATAAAGAGGTACTTTAAAGACAAAGTACTCCAGGAAAGGTTAGATACGCAGGAAAGTTTGCACTAGCACAAGTGGACTCCTGAAAGAGCTGGAACTTGGCAATTGGGAGCCGCTGGAAAATTGTAAGCAGGGAACTGACATGACGAGCTTTGAGTTTCAGAAAGCACACTCTGACAGCAGTGGCAGGATGATGGATGAACTCGGTCAAAAGCACACAGAGCTTCCTCTGGAGGAAGAGCGTTTGCAAAGAGGTCCATTCCGCAGAGGTGATGAAGCCCCATCATCACCCCACGAAAACAATGAGGTCAGCTAGTTAGGAAATAGAAACTGTAGAATTCAATGGGAGGCGACTGACAGGCAGTGGGCAGATGTCTTACCTGCTTTCTCAAGCTGTTCTCCATTGCAGGGTTTCTAACACTCCGTTGAGCCTGGATGTGTAACTGTCAGTTATCTCTAGCTTCCTTTCCTTTTTTCTGTCCCACAAATTCATTTTTCTTGATCCATGATTTGATACTCTACTCATTTATTTTTGTCTTGCTATTTTCATGTTTAGTACATACCTTGGCGATATTAGTACAATACACTTCCAGAAGATTAGGAATCTAAGGGCAGGGGCTGGCCTTGTGGCACAGTAGGTTAAGGTGCCCCTGAATCCCTTGTGAGTCCCGGCTATCCCACTTCCCATCTGGCTCTCTGTTAATGAACCTAGGAAAGCAGTGGATAATAGCTTAAGTACTTGGGTCTCACCACCCATACAGGAGATCTGGATGGAGTTCCAGGTTCTTGGATTCAGCCTGCCCAAGTCCTGGTCATTTGGTGAAGAAAACCAGCAGATGGAAGATCTTTGTCTCTCCCTCTCTCCCTTTCTCTTTGTAACTCTGCCTTTCAAATAAATAAAGTAAATCTTGAAAAAAATCTAAGGGGAGTGTGATTCAGTAGAAAGAACAACAGCTTCCAAAGGGCTGATCTGCAGTCTTTGTCCTGCCGTGCAATTCCCATTTGACTTTGGTTAATTCACTTCTTTGGATCCTTCATTTTTTTCATGTAGAAAATGAATCTCTAGAATCAGACCCTTTTTAATTTGCCTCCTTACATGTAGAGTCTTCAAAAAGTTCATGGAAAATGAGTATTATTGAAAAAAATACTGCATGGATTTAAATTTTTTTTAAAAAAGTCTTATTTATTTGAAAGTCAGAGTTACAGAGAGGGGGAGAGACAGAGAAAGAGATCTTCCATCTGCTGCTTTACTCCTCAGATGGCTGCAATGCCCATTGCTGGGCCAAGCCAAAGCCAGGAGCTTCTTCCACATGGGTGGCAGGAGCCCAAACATTAGGGCCATCTTCTGCTGCGTTTCCCAGGCCATTAGCAGAGAGGTGGCTGGGAGTGGGGCATGAACTGGTGCCCATATGGGATGCTGGTGTCACAAGTGGCAACTTTTAGTGCTATCCACAATGCTGGCCCCAATGGATTTAAATTTTCTTTCACACTGAAATATACTTATCTTTTCATTTCATCATTCTGTAAACTTTTTGAAGTACTCTCACATAAGACCATAGGAATTTAATAGATACTTTCATGATTGTCAGATCTACCTTCTCCATTATACTCCTATAAAATCACAATGTGGTGGGGCCAATGCTGTGGCGTAGTGGGAAAAGCTGCTGCCTGTAGTGCCGGCATCCCATACGGGCACTGGTTCAAGTCCCAGCTGCTCCACTTTCAATCCAGCTCTCTGCTGTGGCCTGGGAAAACAGTGAAAAATGGCCCAAGTCCTTGGGCCCCTGCACCCACGTGGGAGACCTAGAGGAAGCTCCTGGCTCCTGCATCTCCAGCCAATGTGGCCAACTGGGGAGTGAACCATTAGATGGAAGACCTCTCTCTCTCTCTGACTCTCCTTCTCTCTCTGTGTAACTCTTTCAAATAAATAAATAAATCTTTAAAAAAATTAGAATGTGGTTAATAGGTGTCCAAAAGAAGTTTCATTCTTCATTTTGAAAGGCAGAGAGAGAGAGAGAGAGAATTGCCCATCCACTAGTTTACTTTCCAAATATCCACAACAGTGATGGTTTGGCCAGGCTGAAGCCAGGAACCTGGAAATCAATCCAAGTTTCCCACATGGGTCGCAGGGACCCAAGTACTTGAGCCATCACTTGCCACCTCCCAGGGTATATATCAGCAGGAAGCTGGAAGAGAGTGGAGCTGGGACTCTGTGATACAGATGTCTCAAGCAGCAGCTTCACCTGCTGCACCACAAGTTTCTGTGATGTGCTTGGAGGAATAAAGTTTGAGACCAGTATTGTACTCCTACACATGTTCCTGATCACAGGAAGTTGCTATTTAGTAGGATAAGCTTTTCTGCTTGGAAGCTTTAAGTGTAGGGTGGCTCTCATTTTATTGACCACCCACTTCTCAGAGCCATACTGCTTTTATCTGAAATCATGGCTCTGCTACTTACTGGCTTATTATCTTGGGAAGCCTACTTCACCTCTGTGTCTTAGTTTCTTCATCTATAAAACAGGGAGCCTAGCATTATCTATAAGGTTATTGTAGACACTATCAAATTAATGTATTTAACAGCGTCTGGACTACACAAAGTCTGGGCTAAGCATTAGCTATTGTTTTGATTAGCTGCAAAGCACTAGAAAGCACTAGCATGAACAGACCTGGTTGGTCTCTCTCCTTTAAGAGCTGGTTGCCTAGTCGGCCCTCATTCAATATTCTTACAAGGAGTACAGCAAGCGGTGCAGAAGCAGAGATGGAAAAGCCTGTCTCATCCTGGAGGGAAAGGTGGGGCAGGGTGAGCTTCTTGCGGGTAAAGTTTGAGTCTGATCCTTAGGGAGGAAGCAGTCAGAGCGGCACAGGGAAGGCGGATGAGGACTAAGGAGAAGACGCGTGGGAGCAGGCAGCGTCAGCAGCGGCACCACTTGGGAGCTTACTAGAAACATAGGATCTAGGACCCACCTCAGACCCACGCCATCAAAACTGGCATTTTAACCTGATCCTCAGGTGCTTCCCATTGATAAGGGACCCACGGGCTAGAGCATGGCTGACTGCTTAGGTTTAAATCCCTGCTTTCCCATTTACTTGTGTGTGACTGTAAGCAAGCTATGGGACTTCCTTCCTATGCCTCACTTGCCTCTTTTGTAACTAGGGATAATGAGTTTCTACCTCACAAAGTTGTTGCAAGGACGAAGTCATTATGTGCAATGGTTAAACAGTACTTGGTGCTTAGTAAACACAGGGATTAGCCATTATAAATGACCACTGTGATGCTATTTCTTCCAGTGGACGTCAGTTTTATAAACCCCTTTGGTGATTCCACTCCTCCTTCACTCCCTACCATTTTGACATTCATCACAGAGGAAAGGACACTTGGAGGTCAGAAGGCCTGGGGTTACACAGCCCAGCTCTCTTCCACATCCATCCCTCTGAAACTGGGCAAGCTCCTGACCACATGTGTGTTTTCACAGTACCGGGGGCCTGCAATTACACCTGCTTCGCTGAGGTGTTGCCAGGTTCAAAGACCGTGTATGAAGATTTCACTTACAATCTTACAAAAAAATTTTTAAGCAACTGGCCTTAAAACGGCAAGATCAGGGAGGGTGTGGGGTGGGCGTGGAGGCTAATTCGTCCCACTTCACGATCTTACGAAGGTGCAGGTTTGGGTTCCAGCAACGACAGCCATGTACTTCGAGAGTATTTTTAGTTCGTGGGCAAACAGGAGTAGGACATTTCAACGCTCTCGTTTTTTCCTCCTAACGTCCGGGGTTCCATGTGACAACACGAAGTCTCTGCGGGCAGAGTGGTTTACAATTTAACTTTTACGCACACTGTGTATGGCAACATCCCCGCAGGGCAACAGTAACCTCGCTTCTCCAGAAGGAAACACTGGTAACAGCACAATACCCGCGAAGAACTCCCGCACACCGGGGCCGTTTCTCCCGCATCCGAGGTTACGGAAAGCACGCAGTCTACAGGGAGGGCCGCCACAAACGCCGATGGACTGCTCGCCACCGCCGGGCCCTGGCTCCCATCTCGTGGTCACGAGTAGCTTTACTGGGCCCCCCTTTTTCGTAGGTCAGACAGAACGACCAGAGCGTTTCCACAACACTGCCGTGGGATTAAGCACGAACAAAGGCTGAGGCAGAACCTACCACGTCGTAGGGCCTCGCGTAAGTCCCTTCGTGCCTCTGCCGGCTAAGGCACCACTTGGCGCCATCACGCCCACTTCGCGCGCACAGGAGCCTCAAGTCGACAACCCTAGGGTCCCCCCTTGTGTACTCCGCAATCCTCAGGTCCCGGACGGCAACTACGACCTCCACACCGTGTCGGTTTCCGATTATTCCTCCTCGAGCTGCCGCCCGGGGGGCTGGAGGCCCCAGATCACCGCCCCCGCGGCTCTTGAGGAACCCGAGCCTGCTCCACCACGCCGCTTCAGGGACGAAGCTGCGTTCCTACGGCCCTAAGCCCGCTGGAGTAGAGGTCGCCACAGAAGGCTCGGTGGCGGCTCCCAACGCCATTTTGACTGCTGCGTGTGGCGTCACGGGTGCAGCCGATTGGCCGGGCGACGGCAGCCGGAGGAGAGGCGCGCGAAGCCAAAGAGACGAGGGGATGCAGGAGAAACCCAAGGAAACTACAATCCCAGCCCTCCTTGCGCTGCGACGGCCGGCCCGGGGCGAAAGAGGATGGAGCTTGATGTCGGACCACAACTCCCAGCACCCCCCGCGACGCCCGTCCTGTCCTTTCATAACGTGGAGGAAAAGAGGGACAGTATGAATGGAGGCCTTTTGCTGTCCGCTCTCCGAAAGGCGGGAAAGGCGAACTACACCTCCCGATGGGCAGCGCGCGGCTGCGCTTGCGCCCTGATGCTTGTCGCCATCTTGCCCCTTCTGAGGCACCGCAAACAAACCCAATTCCTGGTGTCCCCTAGTCTTGGCGGAGGAGCCTTTTAGATGAGCCCCGAAAGACCGGGCAGGTGGGTGACTCTCAGGCAGGGTCCTGGGAAGAGCTGGCAGGGAAGCCAGGGTAGAGGAGCGCCGGGCCAAGCTTTCCGAGCCCGGCTTGGGGCGCCCAGCCCCATCCTCCGTTGTTTCCTAACGGGATCGTGGGGCTCCCCGAGGTGGACCGCGGGGGGCTGTGGCAGGCCCGGTGCTGGGGGCCCCTGGGGTCCAGCCCCGGGAGCTTTCCGGTGAGTCCCGGTCGGCTGGCTGGCTGTCCGCGCGCCTCCTGTGTCTCCGTTGTCCTCTCGGCAGAGGAGGGAGCGAGGCGCGGATGCCGGCCGGGGCCCCTCACACCGGCTGCTGGCCCGGGGAGCTCCGGTCGTGGGCTTGACATTGGGATGGGCGCCGAGAGGCACGGGTGCGGAGCCTGGGCGGGCTGCTCTTGTTGTGGTGCTGCGAAGAGTGCGTGTTTGGAGAGGGGGCGGGGCGGGCTTGCCTCCTTGACACTTGAGTGGGGGGAGGATTCTGCGAGCTCGGGGCTCCCCGGGCGGGCTCCGGCGGCTCCTGCCCAGCTTTCCGAGGCGATGCGGCCCCGCGGTGGGGTCCGCCGGCGGGGACGCGCTGGGATGCCGTGACGTGGTGCTTGCTTCGGGCGGTCGCCGGCCGCCTCCGAGATCCTGTCGGGAGGCGGGGACTGGCTGGCGGAGGGAGCGGATTCCTTTGGCTCGGCCCCCTCTTCCTCCTCCCCACCCCTTGCCTTTATGTCATTCTGCCGGCCGGAGCGCGCGGTCCCGTTCCGCCGGCTGTGAGCTGCCTCGGAGCTGCGAGGACTACGGGAGGGAGGGGGAGGGGGCTCCACTCGGGGCGCAGAGTTGGAGGTAGCAGCCCCGGCGCCTGGAGCCGGATACAGCAGTTATTTCCGTTCGCTGTCTGACTTCCAGATCCGACACTGCGCTCATTCATTCTCTGGTTCATTCATTCGTTGTGCTCTCCCACCAACCATCCGTTTGTGCTTTAAGCAGACATTTACAGCGCGTCTGCTGGGCTCTAAGCAGGTGTTGTGTCAGGCCCCCCTCCCCGCCCCCGCGCTTTCTGCCCTCTAGGGAATTCCCAGGACGGAGTAAATTCTTGGCGTCTAAACTTTTGGTAAATGGTTGTTTCATGACCGCAAGCTCTCGATTCATATTTCTTTATTAAGATTTGAAGAGACCGTTCTTTGTTAAGTTCCTTTAACCCAAGTAACATGCTAGCAGCTTTACATACTTTGTTTCATGTAACTCGTAAGTGAGGAAGCCCACAGAAATCAAGTAATTTACAGTTGCTCAAGTAGTAGCGCCCACTTATTAAATCACATGGTAGCCACTAGGGAGAAACTTTACATGTACTGTTCTTTAATACTGTTAGCACACCAGGTGGCATTACCCCTCCTACCCCTCTCCCCCCTTAATGACTGATTCATTTGAAAGTTGTAAGAGGAGGGAGGGAAGGAGAGAGAGAGAGAGAGAGATCTTTCATCCACTGGTTCACTCTCCAAGTGGCTCCAAGGGCTAGGGCAGAGCCAGGCTGTGGCCAGGAGCTTCATCCCAGTCTCCCACGTGGGTGGCAGAGGCCCAAGCACTTGGGGCATTTTTCTCTGCTTTTCCCAGGCCATTGGCAGAGAGTTAGATCAGAAGTGGAGCAACCAGGACATGAACCAGCCTTGGAGTTCCTGGGATAGGGGCTGCTGGCCTTCAGACCACAGCTTTACCCACAAAAACAACGCTGTCTGAGCAGATGTGGAAAGGGTAGACCCAGAGAGGCCAGCTGACCCAGAGCGCACAGCCGGCAAGTTGAAAAGCTGGAACTAGAGCCAGCGGTATCTGAGTCTGCAGCCTGTGCTCTTTAAGCTGCAGTAGGCTGCAATAGGAAGCTCTGAAATGCTTGTTCGATTCTTCATGTGTCAGAAGTAGCCAAGTGCGGTGGTAAACATGATTGTGAGGTATCTTAATGGTTTTACTTCCTAACTGGTGGCTGGACCTCCAGGTGAATGGCCTTGAATGTACTTTGGTGATTTGATTTCTTGCTTTTCCTTCTGGTAGGGAGGACAAGCTCTTTGGGGCTACCAAACAGAAGCAGCAATGCCTGTTGTGTGGCCAACCCTTTTGGATCTCAGCAGGGATGAATGCAAAAGGATTCTTCGAAAACTGGGTATGATTTTCACTTCTGATGTTTGCTATCTCATATACTCTTCCCTTTCAGTTTGGGTCATGGCTATTTGCATGGATGTCTAATGCTACATTCAAAGTTCTTTGGAGGTATAGTCTCCATCTTGCTTATTGTTGTGCCTAGCATAATGCTTTGGACATAGTAAGTACATTCATAATAATAGCAGCAGCAGCAGCAGCAGTAGTAGTAGTAGTAATAGCAGTTAGGACTTATTTGGGGCTAGTCATCTATTCTGAGTCCTTTACCTTCAACATCTCATTTAATTCTCACTTAAAACTGAAAAGTAGCTAAGCGTCCCCATTTTATAGATGAAGCTTGGAACTCAAGATTAGAATGCTGATAAATAAGTCATGGAGCAGTATTTGACCCCAGGGAATATGATTTCAGTCTCAGCCTACTATCAACCTTCATGAATTTGTTTATGAATTACATAGTATTTGTGAATTCTGAGTTAGTGTAAGCTATGCCTATTTTCCCCAGTGATATTATACTGTTGGTAATAAGACAGACTTTATGCTGGTCATTTATTTTTTAGTTCTTCTTTCCCCTTACAGCACCCTTTAGCCTTTTAGGGCAAGAATTAAGCCCTAGTAACCAAGGCATCCATTGTAGGTAATGAACTAACTTCTCCCCTTGTATCTATAATGATATGAGTCATGCACCATCCTTGGGAAAATTGAGAAAAAGAATTACTCAAATCTTTTTTTTAAAGAAACAGTAATTTTTTTAAAGATTTATTTATTTTTTTGAGAGGTAGAGTTACAGGCAGAGGGAGAGACATAGAGAAAGGTCTTTCATCTGCTGGTTCACTCCCTAAATGGCTGTAACAGCTGGAGCTGAGCTGATCCAAAGCCAGGAGCCTGGAGCTTTATCCAGGTTTCTGACGTGGGTACAGTGGCCCAAGCACTTGGGCCATCTTCTACTGCTTTCCCAGGCCATAGCAGAGAGCTGGATTGGAAGAGGAGCAGCCAGGACTTAAAGTGGTGACCGTATGGGATGCTGGCACTGCAGGCGGCGGCTTTACCCACCACACCACAGTGCTGACCCCTCAAATCATTTTCTGTGTTCTTTTGTTCCAGTGAGGATCCTTGGTTGAGAAAGGACCTTGTTTTATCTAACTTAGACTAGCACAATAAATGAAAAAATACTTTCACAAAGAATATTAAATGCTTTGGCAGCAGATATTAATTATTTAGATGCCTTTGCTTTTGAAGAGGAAAATGTGAGTCTTAAATTCAGAGTAAGGTCCTGATCCTCTTAGCACTGAATGACCCATGTGACTGAGGGCAAATTATTTTCTGTTGACATTTTTGTAAAAGAAGGATAGCTGGTACTGGTTCTATGGAACAGCAGGTTAAGCCAGGGCCTGCAGCACTGGCACCCCATATGGGCGCGGGTTCAGGTCCTGGCTGCTCCATTTCTAATCCAGCTCCCTGCTGGTGTGCCTGGGAAAGCAGGGGAGGATGGCATAAGCCACTGGGCTCCTGCACCCTTGTAGGAGACCCAGAGGAAGCTCCTGGCTCCTGGCTCCTGGCTCTGGCCTGGTCCCGTCCTGGTCATTGTGGCCATTTAGGGAGTGAAGCAGCAGTAGAAGATCGATCTCTCTCTCTAACTCTGCCTTTCAAATAAATAAAGAAAGAAATAAATATTTAAAAAGATTAACATATCCTTCATTATTTGCCTTATTACATATATATATATATATATGTAATATATATAGTGTTTATGGAGGGCCTATCCCAGTGCCCAGTACATGAGTGTTTAGTGTTTAAAGCAGCTTTCAGACATTTGTTTATTTGCAGGTACATTTTTTCTTCAAAGGAAATCTTTGTTGGGGATTCCTGTGTGTAAACTTGATAGAATCATAGGTCCTGGAGCCTTGCTTACTTATCATTTTTGCCTGGGTTATTTCTCCTCAGGCCACATTTCAAATGGGGAAGAGAATCAATCATTGTTTTGCCCTTTTAAAATTTTTTACTTGGGCCGGTGCAGGCTGGTGCTGTGGATCAATAGGCTAATCCTTCGCCCTCTAGTCCCGGTCGGAGTGCCGGATTCTGTCCCGGTTGCCCCTCTTCCAGTCCATCTCTCTGCTGTGGCCCAGGAGTGCAGTGGAGGATGGCCCGAGTGCTTGGGCCCTGCACCCGCATGGGAGACCAGGAGAAGCACCTGGCCCCTGCCTTCGGGTCAGCGTGGTGCGCCGGCCGCAGTGCATCGGCCACGGCGGCCATTGGAGGGTGAACCAACGGTAAAAGGAAGACCTTTCTCTCTGTCTCTCTCACTGTCCACTCTGCCTGTCAAAAAAAAAAATTTTTTTTTGCATCCAAACTTTTAGTGCTAATTTGAAGTTAGTTTTCTTTACACTTACTTGTAATCAGTCTAACTTGCTGTCAATTATAAAGTTATATTAATATTTACTTCACAGCTGAAATAATTGCAGAGAAACATCATAAAGATTGTAGGTTGAATTGGGATTTCTGGGTTTTGGGGGCTTTGAATCAAGAGATTGCCATTGACTATAAAAATGGTAACCTTTCCCCTAGTTCTTGCTGTGAATTACTCAAGGTGGACTGGGAATAGTTCACTATTTACTGGACCCAGAAAACCCCATAAAGTCATGCAAATAAAGAGTTTCAAATCTTCGTGTTCACTTTAGGAACATTTTTGAAATTGCCCAGGCCATCAAGGGTATGCATATCCAGAAAGTCATCAAGTGTCTGAAAGATGTCCCTTTGCAGAAGCAGTATGTGCCATTTTGTCACATAGTGAAGCTGTAGGTGTGCCCAGGCCTACCACTGGGGCTGGACACAGGGATACAGATCTGGTAGACACAGAGAGTACTTTTTTGTTGTATGTGTTTAAATGTGCAGAGGAGAATGCTGAATCTGAGGGTTTGGGTGTAGATTCTCTGGTTAAGGAGTGTATCCAGGTAAACAAATCACCACCGTGGCACAGCGGGTCAGGCCTTAGCTGATGATGCTGGTGCCCTGTATTCCTACACTGGAGTGGGTGCCTGTTGGGAGTCCCACTGCTCTGCTTTTTTTTTTCTTTTCTTTCTTTTTTTTTTTTTTAAGATTTATTTATTTATTTGAAAGTCAGAGTTAGAGAAGGAGAAAGAGAGAGACAGAGATGGAGAGAGAGAGAGACAGATACACAGAGAGAGAGGTCTTCTATCCACTGGTTCACTCCCCAGTTGGCTACAAAGGCCGGAGCTGCACAAAGCCAGGAGCTTCTTCTGGGTCTCCCACATGGGTGCAGGGACCCAAAGACTTGAGCCATCTTCCACTGCTATCCCAGGCCACAGCAGAGAGCTGAATCGGAAGTGGAGCAGCCGGGACTCGAACCAGTGCCCATATGGGATGCTGGCTCTGCAGGTGGCGGATTTACCTGCTAAGCCACAGCGCCACAGCGCCACAGTGCCACAGCCACAGCCACAGCCGCAGCACCGGCCCCATAAATAAATCTTCAAAACAAAACAAAAACAGAAATGCTCTGCTTTACTTACAGAGCTCCTGGATGGATTAACCCATGTTGGATCCCCTCTTGCCAAATAGAGATGATTCTTATGAAAGGGAGCAAAGTGTCCCTAAACCAGACGAGAACATTGCATAGAAGAAAAAAATATCCCAGAAGAAATTGAAGATGTAAACCCTTATGGCCTAGGAACATGAAAGAAATGTAAAGAAAATTGAAAGTAAATCATGATGGATTTGTCTCTAATTTTAGTCAGAGCCTTGTGAGTAGTGCTGCTTCTATACAAAGGAAAACAGCCAACCTACGCGGTGGTGTCAGCTTCGCGACCCTTCCTCCCCTTGGGAGGTGAGCTTTGTTAGCAATTTGCGCAAAGACTTCCTCCCACCCGCTGCATCATTATCATAACAATGGAACCTTTCATTCGCCTTCCAACTCTCATTCCAGGTCCAGTGTTTAGAGAGGATATTGTATTTAAGAATTGGCTTAAAATATTTTAAGAATTACCTTTGTTCTTTTAAAAATAGTTGCAGTTTTAATGCAGGATGCTAAACACTTAGGTTTTACTTAAGTATAAAGAATTTGGGATAGAGAGTTTCTTTCTGATATACTTAACATACCAGTGATAGATAAATGCTTCCTTCCTTCAGGTCTGTCTCTCCCCTGCCTTATTATAGCCATTCCTGAGCTGTAACTCTTAACTTTGTGGACCATAGTAGAATTGAATGACTGATTTATTTACATGGGAAAAGTTGAGAGCTTTATAAAAATGGCTTAGCAAAATTTTTTGTTTTCTGAGGTGTTCCTATGTGTTTATTTCATTATATTATGTTAATTTGAGTTAGCACTACAATACAACCATGCCAGAATTTCAACTAAATTTGAACTAAGTCCCTATCTGAATATCCCCTCCAAAATGGACACTAACAAATGTGCAGGAGGTTGGGATGCTCTTAAGGTTTTTTTGTAATGAATGAGTTTCTAGAGGAAAAGAAATTCCTTGGATTGTGATAACTCCGCTGATGGCGAGAACTCTGTTCTGAATCCAGTATTGTGTGTGTAAGCTTGCTACCTCCTAATTTTGTTCATGACTTTTTAGTTGGATTTGAAATGAGACTTGAAATATGAGAAATGTTTGTTTTATTTTTTTTTAATTTTTTTTTTTTTTGACAGGCAGAGTGGATAGTGAGAGAGAGAGACAGGGAGAAAGGTCTTCCTTTTGCCGTTGGTTCACCCTCCAATGGCCGCCATGGCTGGCGCGCTGCGGCTGGTGCGCTGCGGCTGGCGCACCACGCTGATCCGATGGCAGGAGCCAGGTGGTTCTTCTGGTCTCCCACGGAGTACAGGGCCCAAGCACTTGGGCCATCCTCCACCATACTCCCGGGCCACAGCAGAGAGCTGGCCTGGAAGAGGGGCAACCGGGACAGAATCCGGTGTGCCGGCCCCCCGCAAGGTGGAGGATTAGCCTAGTGAGCCGAGGGGCCGGCCTGTTTTATTTCTTTAGTAGTTTTCTTTGAAGTAGTGCCTTGATCACCATAAATTCTACAAGTCAAAAGTGAACTTTTTCCTCAAACCGAATCTTCTACCTGACCTTTTTATTTCTTCTTATGGCATTCCCCGTTCTCCTAAGCATTTTGCAAACTGCAAAATCTTGCTCCTTTTCTTTTGCCATTACTTCCATAATCAACTCTTGATCCTAAGAAGTAAAAGCTATTTAGACTGTAATTTAGGTTTTACTCCATATGGCTACAAACTACTTTCCACTTTTATCTTTCTCTATTCTTTTATATGAGTGGACAGAAATCTTTATTATTTGTATGTTTTAGGTCCCTTGTTGGATTTTAATCACCTTGAGAACAAAGACTTTGGTACCCTATAGTAGTAATGTTTAATTAGGACTTTGATTTGAATTAGTGCTTATCTAGATACAGAATTTTTATTCTCCTTCTTGTATAAAACCCTCAAACATAAGTCATAGCAGAGGGGCTGGCGCTGTGGCACAGTAAATTAACCCTCCACTTGTGGCGCCAGCATCCCACATGGGTGCAGGCTCTAGTCCCAGCTGCTTCTCTTTCAATCCAGCTCTCTGGTATGCCCTGGGAGAGCATTAGAAGATGGCCCAAGTCCCTGGGCCCCTGCACCCGTGTGGGAGACCCAGAAGAAGCTCCTGGCTTTGAATTGGCACAGCTCCGGCCATTGCAGCCAAATGGGGAGTGAACCAGTGGATGGTAGACCTTTCTCTCTGTCTCTCCCTCTCACTGTCTATAACTCTACATCTCAAATAAATAAATAAAATCTTAAAAAGAAGTCCTAGCTTTATAAAAAAAATAAGTCGTAGCAGAAATTACTGGAACAATATGAAACATTATCTTTGTCTTTCTCTGTCTCTCATCCTTCTGCATATTTGCATTTTTCCCTCCACCTGCCTCGAGTAAGGTTGCCTCTCTGAGTAAAACTAGTGTAGATGATATATTTCCCCTCTATGCCTCCATTGCTGTATATATGTAAACTGTTTCATCATAGTTGTCCATGACTTGTTTCATTGTAGCTGTAATCTAGAGTTAACTCCTTTAGGGTGGGACTTACATACGTACTATCTGGTTTGTATATAATAGGACTCAATACTGACTTTTTGAATAAAATATTCCATAAATGAGAGTATGAACATATGAAATACGGTGAACCTTTATTTGGTTATCCTGTCTTTCTAACTCTAGTCTGGGTTTAATACGAGCTGAAATGTGCCTCCTGGAACTATGTATTTCCTTCACTGCTCCAGAGGAGCAGAGGTTTGTCTCCAAGAGGACTCCATGAGATGTCTACAGAGTAGCTAGCACAGATTAAACATGCAGGGTGGTTACATTTAGGGTAATTCAGTTGGACTAGATGTTTCTGTTTAGTGTAGTTAGATCACTGTTGATAGAAAGCTTCCTTTCCACAGTCAGAACTAAATCATATGTACTGAATGAGACTATTGACTTCTTGGCATAGTACCTGGTCTGTGTTCATTATTTGGTTCATATGTATTGGCTATTGTATGTCAGGCTTTGGCAAATAGCAAATACTCATAGCAGCTCAAGTACGAAGATAATTCTAGTTTGAACATTTGATTTCCTACTGTTCTATTTGATACACCTGTTCCTAGTTTAAATGGTTTAAAGCAACTATTATTTCTTGCCATTCTGTTGGCTGCTGGCCTTGTCTGACCTATCTCATGCAGCTGTATTTAGCTGGCAGCCTGGCTGGGGACTAGGCCCAGCTAAGATGGCTGGGCCCCTCTTTTCATGTGGCTTTTCATTCTGAGCTTCTTCACAGCTTGGTGGTCTCAAGATTCTAAAAGAGCAAGGCCCTCTGTGCAAGTGCTTAGCAAGCTTCTATTTGCATCATGTTTGCAGATATTTCAGTGGTCAAAGCCGTCATATTTCAAGCCTAGAGATGGTGTGGGAGGGGGCTATGCTGGGAGGCATGCATGGTTCTTGGGGCCATTGAGGACTTTAGGTTTTATGTTTTAACCAGTACGAGGGATGGACAGTTTTGTTTTAAAAGGTTGTTGGCTGTGAAAGAGCTGCATGAAGCAGTCTGTATTGGAATTCCATAATATATGTCTTGGTTGCTGTAAGAACATTTCATGTCTCTTAATTATTTGATAGTAGTTTTTATAGATGCAAAGGATCTTTGATTTGGAAGGTATCTACAAAGTCCCTTCTAGATAAGGAAGAATTCAAAGGTGAGAAAGGACTTGCCCAAGGTCACGCAACTACTACGTGTCAGTGCTGGAGCCAGAATCTTCTGTTCAAATATTTTCTCAGTTGCACTGTACTCTCAACCACCCCAGAGGGAGGAGAAATATAGTTTGAATTCTTAGGCAGGCCTAACAAATTATTTCAAGGGTTGATTAATGAAGGCATTTTAATAATGCTTTTATCAGCCTTATTACATAACTTGGAATCTATTCCCCATTGTTGGTGGCATTTGGATTAAATGTTCTTCAGGGATAATGTATGAGGCAAAATACCTAATGTTAGTTTTTCTGCCTAAACATTTTCCATACATGACTTCTGCAATAAAATATTATAAAATTATAAAAGTCCCATTTTAATCTGTTATTAGGTAACATTTTTTAAAGGAGTTTAAAAATTGCTTGCCTTTGCTTGATTTTCAGATTTCTTGCCCTGAAGTTTCACTCTACATACCCATAGTATTAAAATATTGAAGGCTTATCTTGATAAAATAATTTTCTTCTTCTAGAATTGGAGGCATATGCTGGAGTTATCAGTGCGCTTCGGGCACAGGGGGATCTCACCAAGGAAAAGAAAGATCTTCTTGGAGAACTCTCAAAAGTTCTTAGGTAAATTATCATAAAATTTGGGAGATGTGGTTCTAGAAGTTTCATTTGGAGGGTTTTTATTACTTTTCGCTCTCGATTAACTCTCAAGTTAAGTTGGAGAAGTGTTCAATTTTTTTGTTGGTACTTAGAGATCCTATTCTAGTTGTATGTTTTGTCAGTGAAAATTGCATACTTTACCATTCATTCTGTAATCCGATCAGAAGGTATTTCAGAGAGGTTTTAGTTTTGGGCCACCTGGGAAAGTGAGGTCCTTCTGACATAGATGAAAGAAGGAAAAGAAGAATTGGCAGCAACTGGATAGGAGGTCTAGAGTGGAATTTGTTGGAGGGGAGTAAGTGAGGCAAGGAGGATGTCTTAATTTATGTAAGTGGGTGCTGATTATATAGTCATAGCCTTAAGCATGGTCTGTCCATTCAGCTTCCCACTTAGAGTAGCACTTGCAGCCAATAAAAAATTCTAGTAAAAGAGGTTCCTTGTTGCATTGCTTTGATTCATTTAATGAATTGATCTTTCTTGAAAATGTTCTGTTTTAGCTGGTTTCCTTTCTACATTTAAAACAATTTTCTCCTTTCTAACTGAAAATATGGGAGAAGCTTTTATTATTTAAATGACATTAATATAGGGTTGTTATTAAGCCAGATTCTCAGTTGTGTTTTTTTCATAGTTAACAATTTATATTTTGTATATGTTTGTTGTTTATGTTTTGTCATAAATTCTGCTTTCCAACCCCTTAAATATTTTGGTTCATCATATAGATAGGGCCTAAGTAGTAAAAGAATACAATTGGAAGAGTGGTATTCATTTTAGTGAATATTTATGAATGGAATGGATGTTGCTTTTTTTTTTTTTATTAGTTGTTTGGTACTACTAACTTTACATGTGTTTAATCAGGATTAATTTAAATACATTGCTTACCATTGGTAATACAGTATATAGAAGATACACAGCTGAGTGTTCAGTCATAAAGCAGCATTATCCTGGTGTCAAGTTTCCCAGCATATAGCCACAGGAAAGATTATCTTGCCACTCTCAGTTATTATATTTACTGAACATAAAATTATAGACTCATAAGCTTAGAAAAGACCTTAGAAGACTTTCTTCTGAGTGCCAAAATCCTCTTCTCCTCAGTCCTGGTTAGGAGTCATTCAGCAGCTGTTTGCATATTTAGATAACAGGAAGCTCTGCCAGTCTTGTCTCTGGTCTGACATTTCGGAGATTTGCAAGTAATGCCTTGTTATCGGGTTGAATTTGTCTCTCAGTGAGATTTGCAAGTAATGCCTTGTTATCGGGTTGAATTTGTCTCTCAGTGATTTCTAATTTGCAGTTAATTCTTTCTGCAGTAACACATAATCAGTATGAACGCTTTTCTAAGACTTTAAAGCATTTGAAGATATATTTTTAGTCTCTTGTCTATATCTTTTCACAAAGCATTCTGTCCTCCCCCAAACAAAATGTTGACTTAAACATTAATAAAAATATAGGAAAGAGCTGCCTGCTTGGCAGAGTTCTATAATGGCTATTTTTTTTCATAGCATCTCAACAGAACGCCACCGTGCTGAAGTTCGGAGAGCAGTAAACGATGAACGGTTAACAACAATTGCACATAAGTAAGCCATTAGTCATACCACCCCTGATATTTTATGACGTAGTATAACATAGTTTTGAAAAGTCTTCCTATTTTGTAGCAGATTCCTGAGTCTTATCTTAACAACAGTATTTCTATACTCAGGATCCTGACCATAGCAGTAAAAGTGGTATTAACTGTTTATTCAATTGGTTATGTCTTTTGCATTTGGTTAGGCAAGCTTTCTAAGTACTCAGGTCAGATCCTGCTACAGCCTAATCTCTGTATAACTAGAGACCACCATAGTGTAGCAGATAACTCACTTCATTCAAGCAAAGTTCAGTAACAAAGTAGTGTGCCCCCTAAAATTGATAGCTCCTTAGAGGTTGTTTGGAATGGTATTTGATATGCATATTGATTTATAAATAGGCATTCTAACTTTTTTGATATCTGATTATATCATGTATTTAAGATTCAGAAAAAAGACTAAAATATGTGTTCTGCGTCTAAGAATTATGAATATATCTTAATTCACTCTAAAAATAGAAAATAAAATGATAAAGGATTCTTATCAGATTGTTTTCAGATCCTTATAACTGTAATGACAGATGGGCTGAGGGTGGTGGAGGACTGAGGGCAGGGATTATGCACTAATTCTGTGTGGAGACAGTGCCTCCTAAGGAATAGAAAGGAATAGAGATTCTCCTGTAAAGGGAGGGTATTGAAACATTCTATAAAATATGGTTTAGTGTTATTCATTTGTTTTAGATTTTTTTTATGTGTCAATGTGAAATAAAACTAAAGGAAATAATTCAGTGCAGTTCCTTAATGTGATAACTAAAACAGTGTTTTTGAACCAATTGGCCGTATTTGAATTGACCTCAAAGATTCATTAGCTTCATGTGTGCTTCACTGTCCCTCATTTTACTTAACATATAAAATGGGGTGTTACCTTTTTGACAGCATTTTTGAAAGTTTAGCTCTTTATCCTAGAATTTTGAGATTCTTCAGTTGTAGGTGTGTACTACAGAAATTTGGAAAATTTCCTTTAGAGGCATTTAGTATTTAGTAGTCAGGCTAACATGGTTGACACATTCAGATAGTAATGTTTTTCTTCTTTAATTTGCTCTAAACTTTTGAACTGAGATGCTTCAAAAATAACCATTTGTGCCTGGATGCTAATTTCAGCATTGCTAATAGGAAATTTATGTGCTAGATAATAAAGTAGTAAACAATAGCTTGCATTCAGAGGCACTTAGCAACAAGATTAGTACCTAAGAAGCTTTGGAACAATATTGTGGGACAACTAGTTGTAAGATGATGCATCAGTTTCATACTTAAAGAATAACATTTATTTAGTCTCCTTTTCCTTTTTTCCCCTTTAAAGAATGAATTTATCCTTATATTTGGGTGAAAGACCAAGTTACAGGTATGCAATTAGGTTATTATTATTTCAGGCTTTTTCTTGTATTTATTTCCAAATTGAAGCTCTCAATTATTCAGGGGCACATTATTCCATTTATGACTTAACCATGCCCCTTGCTTTTCCTTCTCTTCCCCTCCTCCCTCTCCTAATACTGCCCACCCTTTAGCCATTTTGCTGCTTGGGAGACCTAGTCAGAGGGTGGGAAGGGAGAGGAGGTGCCAATTTTAATTAGTCATTTTGCTACTTGTTAGTTGTCCTGGAAAAGATTTGGTGGAAGAATTGATTAGTATTTGCCAAAATGTCTTTGCATAATATATGGGTTTCTTGAATCTGTTTGACCTCTCCCTTTCCCTCCTCTCTCCATTAGCATGGATAATTGAGAGTTGGCTTTTATCTGCCTGTGTTTCCTCTTTTTTTCCTCTCCTTTCTGATTTCTTTAATACATGAATTTCATTTTTTGAAAAGAGTTTTTACTTCAGTGTATAATTTTAAGCTTCTTAGGTCTTTCTATACTCCTGTTTTAATATTTTGTATTATGGTTTTAGTTTGCTGAGATGTATTTACTTGTTGAGCTCAAGGATCAGTGACTAGGGATTGCTGACTGCTCTCTCCTTTTTGGAAGTAGCAGCTGAGCCTGGTTCCAAAGATTACCTACCGGAGGGCTTCCTACTCTGGGCCTGAGAGAGCAGCTAGAGGAATGCCTCCGAAGTGACGGCATTCCCTTTCTCCTTTCCCTGCCCTCCCCCACCCAAAGCAGCCGTGTAGGCCCGAAGGAATGTAGTTGAAAGGTGATGAGAAAGCGAAGAAGACGGAGTACAAAGGAGGGGGGACAAAAGGAGTGGAGAGTCTGGGATCAAAGCAAAGCCTTGCTGTGGCTTGAAGTGTAACACGTGGTTATTGTTTGGCACAAGGCCTCTGGTTAAATTCGATACTCAAATTCAGTTTTAAATTATGTTAGAGTAGGACAGCTTTAGATTTTCTAATTGGGCCACTCTTGCTCTCACTGTTTTTAGAGTTAGAAGAGGTTGGTTGTCTGGAATTTCTGCTCTCTGAACCCTTTTACCATCAGTCATGCATATAGGATACCCTGTGTATTTCTAAGTGAGAATGAGGCTGTGAGGGCCCAGGAAATTTCATTAACATCATCATAGATTTCTCAAAAGGGACTGGAGTAAGAGTTCCACCCTTCCTTGACATACTTAGTATAAATAGAGTGGCATTCTTACATCGAGATTAAGGTATTCCAGTGGAGCCCTGCAGGGAGATGTTTAAAGTCTAAATGCAGTTTAGATGACTTGTGCAACTAATGCATATTTATACCTTCATTACTAAGCAAATAGGATTTTTTTTGATCTAACATTTAATTTTCACTCTCTTAAAAAAAAAGTTTGAGCATGTTTGCATGAGTGGAAATTTGGAAGATTTTTAGCATCTTTTGAAAAGTTGCAGTTGTGTCCTTTGCACTGCAAGTTTTGTCTTTTCACTAGCATATATTCATGTGCTTCAAATTATTAATCTTCCATAATTTCTGCCACCATTTAAAAAATGTACCAGGTAAGTGTAGACTTTTTTGTGCTAAACTCTCACCAAGCAAGTTTATCAGTGATATTCTAATTAGATGATAGCAAAATAGAAGCCAAGAAAATAGTACTTTTAGAATTTTTTCTTTAATAATTAGCTATAGCCCTTTTCTGTGTGTCTTTCCTGTTTTTACCATTATTTGTTTTAGAACAAGCATCAACTTGAAGATTATATAATAACAAGTTTATGAGGGTTGTTGGGCTTTTAGGAGCCCTTCTTTTCCTTGTTTTAGGTTGTACTGTGTTAATCCAGGGAGGAATTTATAGATATTTCCATAGAAGCCCAATTGGATTCATCAGCTCTTAGAAATTCCTTTCTTAACTGACGTTAAATCCTCCTTAAATTGTAATTTATTCCAGTCAGTGAAAGTTGGTAGTAATTACACAACAGTATCTAATTTGTATAAATCAAAGACAAAAATTAGACATACATGAACATTCAAAAATTTTTATACCTTCTGCTTATGAGGTGGCAAATCGTTTCAGTATCATACTGTATGTTTGTTGAAGGAAGTATTTATTAGTTGTGTGATCTTAGGCAAGTGAATTAACCAACACGTGACTCAGTTTCCCCATCTGTAAAAAGCGGTGATAATACTACCAACTTCATAGGATTGTTGAGTGAACTATATGAATTAATACATGAAAAATGTTGAGGACAATGCTTGCCATTTTGTAAGTGCTTAATTGATGTTAACTGTCGTCACCATTGTCACCATCATTATCATTATTCCCCTACCCACTAACAAGGGCTTTTGTGTTCTGTATCTAAATCTGAAGAATCAGTGGACATACAGTCTTAACTTCTCAGTTTGGTTGAGGAATCTATAGTTCTAGAAAAGTGCAGAAATATTCTGATTTAGCAAAGGGATTGGTTGCTTTTAGGTAAAATGTGTATTTTATCACAAATCATTAGTTAGGGTCTTTCATGGAGCCTAGTTGGGAGAAGTGATATGACTGCTTTGTATGCAACCTCCGGTTGTATTCCTGGGATAAAATGTACTCAAGAAATTTAGGGTAGAGAAGTATCTGCTTAGAGATGAATCCAGTTGCCTCAAATCCCTAGAGTGCAGGGTAGAATAAATATGTAAGGATAAAGTAGTGCTAGGTTGCTTTCAGTGTCCTCAGGTCTTGTCTGCTTTTAACAAGAAGGAGAATACAATACATCATCAGTGACACTTGCTGTTATTTAGTCCTCTTCTATCCTCATTACCCATTACCTAACCTCTCCCCCTCGTTTACTGCCTCAGTTTCCCTTATTTGAAAGCCTTTAGAACCTCTTGCCTTGCAGGCAGTTAGATAATTTTGCAAAGATTCAATGAATTCTATTCTTAATTATTAAGAAAAGTCTGATTTTGAAAGTTGTGAGTGGTTTTCCTTTGTTGGATGAATTATCAAGTTAAGTTCTAAAAGCTAGTAGAAATTCAAGTTTTCATTAGTGATACCAGACTTAATGAAATTGATATTTATTTAGAATGCACAGAAAAATTTTTGATACTTTCAATTATGTTCATTATAAAATTTAGCTTATGGAATAAAATGTGTAAGAGCTTAAGTGTGTGTCATTCTGTGAATTCTGATTATTCGTAATATGATCTTACTTGCTTAAAATAAAGCCTCTCCATTCAGGGTATTGTTACAATTTAAAGTTATATTTTTTTGGTTCGTTTTTAGTGATTGAGAACCCTTGTAGCAGCGTTTTCTTTTTTGTTTAGTATGTCTGGACCTAATAGCTCTTCAGAGTGGTCCATTGAAGGTCGTCGATTGGTACCACTGATGCCCCGACTGGTTCCCCAAACCGCCTTCACTGTAACAGCTAATGCTGTTGCCAATGCAGCTATCCAGCACAATGCATCTCTTCCAGTGCCTGCAGAAACAGGAAGCAAGGAAGGTGAGTAGAAAAATATTTCTGTTAGAAAAAAATGTCTTATTTTTCATCTATTCTTAGCCCAGTTTTTAAAAGGAATAAGGCAGAGTGGACAGTTCTGGCTGTGAAGCTGGGAACTGAAGTTTTGAGATCAGTGTGACTTATCAGAAGTGAATAGAAGGCCTTAATGGAGGATATTAGAAACTAAGATGACAGAAGTCATTTAGCTGCTGGAAAAAGATGCTGAATGGATAGCTTCAGGAAACAAAGCTCCAGTTTTATCTTCTGGAATCAATGGAATAGGTTTCCTCTCTGTTCTCATCAATGTGCTCAATCCATTACCTGGCAGATAGAGAGACTTTCTTAGTGTTATTTAACCTAATAATTGACATTTGGTTTAAAAATCATCGAATTCTCCTGAAGATTAGTATTAAATTTGAAAGATTTGAAAGATTAGTATTAAATTTGACTCCAGTAGCATAGGTTGGTTTTGCCTGACAAGAACCCTGAAAACATTGCGTTTGTCAGGTGACTCTGAGAAACTGCCTATTTTTGCCTGGTAATGGGCCGTGGAACAGAGTGAGACACCCTCTTCGTGCAGGCCAGGCTCTTTTTTAGGCTGAAACAAGCTATATTTGAGGGAGACTGTTACCAGTGTGCAAACTTTGCCTCCATTGCATCCCTGTTTCTTTGTTGTCAGAGAGGTATCTTTCCTTTATTTCCTGTTTTTACCTTTGCCAGCTGTCTGGTAGAGTGGAGAGAATATAGAATTTCCAGTAGTCAAATCTGTGTTTGAATCTTCAGCAAGTTTTCGTGTCTGTAAGCCTTGCGTTTCTTACCTCCAGGAGGAGGATGTGGTGCTACGAGGATTAGTGATAATGTATGGAAAGGAGTTCTCTCAGTGTTTGGGACCTAGGAACTGGTGCATAGGAGCTTTTCTTGTTGAGCTGTGTCCTTTCACTGAATGATAAAGAGGTTGAAACATGTCACTATTTTAATTATGAGTACAGTAGTGCTTAGATGGCAAATGATTCATGGGTTGGGTTATGGAGAGGGACCTTATCTTGATTCTCCCCTTTGGTAGCCTGGTTGGAAATTGCTATGGTTAGGGAAAAATTAACTGTTATCCCATCATTGGTACTGCTAATAGTATGAAAAGGGAGAATAAGTATGTGCCTGTTTTCTAACTCCTGCCATGAATGAAAAATGACTTTCATTTTTCTTAATTTAGTTTTAAACTTAATTTATTTGAAATTGTGCTTCTCCATTGACAATATCACCTGTAGATAAGCTATTAAATATTTGGGAAAAATCCATTTAAATGATGATTTTTCAGGAAAGGTCATTAATGCCTTTTAACTTGTGGGCCTAATACCTAGTTCTGGCCTCTGACTTTTGATCACATGAAAATGTTAAGATTGGCCTGCAATAAAAATAGTTTTTCTGTATGCCTGGACAGTTTTGGTGAAAGTTAACAGCAGACTTTTTTATCGTTCCTTCAGTAGTGGTTTGCTATTCCTACACAAGTACTACGTCAACCCCAACCTCTACCCCCGTTCCAAGTGGCAGCATAGCAACGGTTAAGTCTCCAAGACCTGCCAGTCCTGCCTCCAATGTAGTTGTCTTGCCAAGTGGAAGTACTGTTTATGTCAAAAGTAAGTGATATCCTCAGTGTTATCAGGGCCATCTTGGCTAAATGTGGCAGTGTAGGATTTGATAAGATCTGCCTTCCTGGAAAAAGTCACCAGGCCACTACCTATCAGCAGTGGTTAGTTTTTGAAGGTATTGAATTCCTTTCTTTACATGTGACTAGGTGTATATTGCTGTTTAATAGGTTTTGGGGTTGGAGAAATGACTGCCTTTTTGTGGCCTGTGGGGATTTTGTGTTTGAATAGTGCTATCCTTCAAGTATTCACTTGTTTTGACTGTCATGGAATAGAAATGTGAACAGGGGTGGGCCTTGTGGCATATCCTGGGAAGCTGCAGCTTGAGGCAACTGCACTCCATATCTGAGTGCTGATTCCAGTGTTGGCTGCTGTGCTTCTAATCCAGCTCCCTGCGAATGTGCTGAAATACTTGAGTCCTTACCAGCCACCTGGGAGACCAAGAGTTCCTGGCTTTCGCCTGGCAGAGCCCAAGATCGTAGCCACTTGGGGAGTGAATCAGTGGGTGGAAGATCTTTCTCCCTCTTAACCAGAGGATACATGATCTCTTTCCCTCCCTCTCTGTCCCTCTGCCTTTCAAATAAAGACATTGTTAAAGAGAAATGTGAGTAGAAACTGTAGCAATGTGCTTATGCGATTTACTCAGTACTCACTTCTTGTAATCTTTGTAGTGTTTTCTTAAATTATTTCACAGAACATGTCATCCAAATGTTAAGATTTCAGTGAAACATTATAGGGAATCTATTTTATATTTTTGGTTAATTGTAATTTTTTGAAAATTTTTTCTTGATTTTGCCCTATGAAGTATTTTGTTGTCAAGCTCATTTTTTGTTTTTGTTTTTAATTTCTGTTATCAATGTTTATTTTATTTTGAAGTTTATTTTTTGCTTTTGATATCAACTATGATTTAATTTTTATTTTTCCCGATATAGTTATAAATATGACTTCTTTGTAACTTTTAGTGGTAGAGGTTGCTGTTTTGGACAGGAGTCATTCTGGGTCATTGTTGGTCCTGTTTAAATTACAGTCAAAAAAACCGAAAGTGTAGGAGTTATATTTTATTACCAATTCCAGAGTCATGCTGTATAATTTCTTATGTCTGTTCAGTAGAGATATCTTGTGCAGGTTGCTGTGTATGTGTCTCACTTAGTTTTTTCTTTTTTTTAACAAGTTTACAAAAACAGTTGAAGCTTTACTATATAAAGAGAAAGCAATACATCAGAACTATTCAGTTTATATCTGATTACTGTGGATTTAGCGAAGGTGGTCCTTTAAAATAATAGTAGACCTATTTTTTTAAACACTGAAAGTGAATTCCAAACATGAGAAAGCTATTTCATGTTACATACAGTTTTAACCAACAGGAAATTTGTTGCTTTATACTCAGAAGTCATACCGATTACATTAATTTGGGATAAAATCATTAATTCACCTAATTTTGTGGGCAAGGCACTCCAATATGGGATATGGGCATCCCAAGCAGTGTCTTCAGTGCTGGACCAAACACCTGCAGGGGAATAAACCAATAAGATTTAGTCAGGCCCCCTGGGAGCCTCTTCACAATGGGAAACGTGCTGACAGTTACATGGCTATCTGGTAAGTGGTACAGAAGGGAATGTGCAAAGTGATTTATAAACTCAGAGCAACATGGATTCTCTTTGCCTAGAGGAGTAAGGGAACGCTTCACTGAGGAGGCGGCTTGTGGGATGATGAAGAGGTTGTTGATGGTGAGTGGTGTTCCCCAAAGGACAGTGGGATGTTGGGACCCAGAGATGGACAGAGTGTGGTAGGTGGCTTTGGGGGATGGTGAGCGGTTTACCTTGTCAAGGTCATAGGATTGTCCAGGGTTGGATACAACAGGATATTGCTGTGTTGGAAAGATGTGGGGCCTTGAATGATATGATGATGGTGTTGTGCCTCATTGTGTAGGAGATAAAGCTATTAAAGGATTTTTAGGCAGTGCATTGGCATGATTAGATGTAAAGTTTCTAACTTGTAGTAGGATGGAGGATAGAATAGAAGAATAGAGTAGATACACAGATATCTTTTAGGAAGTTGTTGGTTACATACAGGCAAGCAGATACAGCCTGGCGTGGAGCAGTTGCATAGGTTGAAAATAAGATACCATGTCCCATATTGGAGTAGCTGGGTTTGTATTCTGCTAATGTGGAACCTGGAAGGTAGCAGTGATGGCTGAGGTGATCAAGTACCTGCCACCCACATGGGGAACCTGGATTCAGTTTATTTCCTGGCTCTGGCCATCCAGTTGTGTGAGCATTTGGGGAATGAATCAGCAGATGGGAGAGCTCTCTCTTGTCTGTGTCTCTTTATGTGTCAAATAAGTAAATAAAAATGTTAAGAAAAGGATGGAAGGCATTCAGGGACAACTTCTCTGAAGGAAGTTTGATGAGACTTACTGTTGAGTAGGCATAAGGCAAAGGAAGGGGGCAATGATGACTTGATGACACGAAGATTTTAAAAGTATAGTGTACAAATGCAAGATTAGGTTGGTGTCACTATAGCAGGATTGTCATTGCCTTTCAGGTGTTAGCTGTTCAGATGAAGATGAAAAACCCAGAAAACGAAGGCGAACCAACTCTTCTAGCTCCTCTCCCGTTGTCCTAAAGGAAGTTCCAAAGGCTGTTGTTCCTGTCTCAAAGACAATCACTGTGCCTGTGAGTGGCAGTCCCAAGATGAGCAACATCATGCAGAGTATTGCCAACTCCTTACCACCCCACATGTCTCCCGTGAAAATAACCTTCACCAAGCCGTCAACACAGACGACAAACACGACAACACAGAAGGTATGTCGTGGGGGAGTTTCTGCCTGCCAGTTACTGTTTCCATCTCTTTCAGACTGTGTGACTCAGGTAGAACAAACATGAATTCAGTGCTCACTATGTACTGGGAAATGTTTACCATCTCTTTGTTTTTAATTCTGCACAAAAAGCTTTGGTCTAGGTATTATTAGTTCACTTTTGGCAACCATGGCTCAGACACGGTAACTGGCTTGCCTAGGTTGACACAGCTCTCAGATCTCCTGCTTCTAAGACTTGTGCTCTATATTATCGTTATTATACCATTTGGGAAAAAAAAAGAAAATAGAAGTTTTTTTTAAAACTTTCATGAACATTCATATGACCTTGCCTTTAGAAACTCAGTCTTCACTTTGTAAAAGTAACAGAGTTGTCAGAGTTAGATGTTTCTTAGAATAAAGGATGTAATTAAGTGAATAATTGTTTTGTTGGTCTTTATTTGCTATCATTAATTCATTCCTAAACCCTTCTCTGAGTGTGTTCAAGGCAGTGGTACTTTGTCAAGTTCACGTTGTCCAGTCCCTCAGTCTTCTCAAACTAATCTTGGTCCTGATGACTCAGTAGGCTTGATGCCTCCCTGTACTTACCATCATTCTTACCATCTTTGTCAGTTGATGTATTTATTTTGCTAGTAGCTTCCTGGTACATGAGTATACGAAAAGTAAATCCTTTGAGGTCTTTTGCTTGGTAGATTGCAGATTTCTTTTTACTCTCCTTCTTTCTTAATGGCTTGGCTAAGTAAAGTATTCTAGGTTGGATCATTTTCTCTGAATTTTAGAGATGTTGCACCGTTGGCTTCTGGTTGCCACTGTTGCTTTTGGGAAGCTCAGTTCCATTCTAATTTTAGAATTAAAGTTAGTGTTTTTTTTTGTTTTTTTTTTTTTTTTTTTTAAGATTTATTTATTTGAAAGAGTTAGAGAGAGACTGAAAATCTTCCATCTGCTGGTTCACTTCCCAAATGGCCGCAACGGCCAGAGCTGAGCCGATCCAAAGCCAGAAGCCTAGAGCTTCTTGTAGGCCTCCCACATGGGAGCAGGGGCCCTAGGACTTGAGCCATCTTCCACTGCTTTCCTAGGCCATAGCACAGAGCTGGATGGGAAGTGGAGCAGCCGGTACTCGAACCGGCGTCCATATGGGATGCCAGCACTGCAGGTGGCGGCTTTACCCACTATGCCACAGCCCTGACCCCTAGATGTTTTGCTCGATGAAAACTCTTAGTGCTTTTTAAGTTCTGAAATTTCAAAGCAATGTTCCTTGGTGTCAGGTCTTTATTTTATCCATTTGACTATGTATTCAGTGGGCCTTTCTTGAGCTATTTCTTTGGTTATTCTATTATTTAGAAAGTTGAACTGCTTGGATTGATCCTCTAATTTTTTCCCTCATTCCCATTTTCCATTTGGCTTTTGGAACTAAATCTCCTGGATTCATATCCCAGCTTTTGCCACTTACTAGCTATGTGACTAAGGGAAAACTAATCTATCATGTAAATTTCTCATCTGTAAAGTAGGGTTTTTCCCCATAGGATTTTTTTTTTTTTTTTTGACAGGCAGAGTTAGACAGTGAGAGAGAGAGAGACAGAGAGACAGAGAGAAAGGTCTTCCTTCCTTTGGTTCACCCCCACAAATGGCCGCTACGGCCAGCGCGCTGCGCCAATCTGAAGCCAGAAGCCAGGTGCTTTTCCTGGTCTCCCATGCGGGTGCAGGGCCAAGCACTTAGGCCATCCTGCACTGCACTCCTGGGTCACAGCAGAGAGCTGGACTGGAAGAGGAGCAACCAGGACAGAATCTGGCGCCCCAGCTGGGACTAGGACCCGGGGTGCTGGCGCCGCAGGCAGAGGATTAGCCTAGTGAGCCACAGCACTGGACTCCCATAGGATTTTTGAGTGTAAATAACTGATAGAATAGAGCCTAGCACATAGTAAATGCTCTGTAAATATTATTATTAATTTCTATATCTTTTAACTTTATCCTTTAGTAGTTAGAAAGAGAAGGAGAGACAGAAAGAGGTCTTCCATCCTCTGGTTCACTCTCCAAATGGCTGGAATGGCTAGGGCTAGGCCAGTTTGAAGTCAGGAGCCTGGAACTCCATCCAGGATTCCCACAAGAGTGACAGGGGCCCAATCCTTTGCTGCTTTGCCAGGTGCCTTAGCAGGGAGCTGGATTGGAAGTGGAGCAGCTGGCACTTGAACAAGCACTCATAGGGGATGCCTGCGTCACAGGTGGTGGCCCCCCACAATAATTTTTTTTGATATTTTCTTTTTTCATGTTTTCTCACCTGTAAGTTCCTTTCCTGTATTTGTTTTGATCTCTTTCATTTCAGAATGTTCTGCAGTATCTGACTGTGTGCTTATGTATGAACATGGACACTAGAAAGAGGACAAAGCTCTGTGTGTGGGTGGGACATGTTGTCTGGTGACTTTCACTGCGGTTGACCTAGCTGGGCTGTTTGGTGAAGAAGTACCACTACCCCTTTACCTCCCTCAGTGTCACTGTCTTTATGGCTTTTTCTTGGATGGGTCAGATTCCTCAAAGAAGAATCCTCTAGTCTCTTTCCTTGAGTAGTCTAAGACTAGCTCCTTCTGTTTGAGGACTAAATGGAGAAAGATTTTTTATGTAGACCCTGTTGGCTTTCAGTGTGGCATTGCCCTTCCCAGCTGTGCCTGATGGTATCAGATCCCTCAGCTTCAGTTTCTCCCTCATGAAAATAAATTCATAGTCTTCTCTTAGGTAGGGGAGGATGGCTGGAGGTCCAAGTGCTTCTTCTTCTTTTTTTTTTTTTTTTTTTTTTTTGACAGGCAGAGTGGACAGTGAGAGAAAAAGAGACAGAGAGAAAGGTCTTCCTTTTGCCGTTGGTTCACCCTCCAATGACTGCCGCGGCTGGCGCACCGCGCTGATCCGATGGCAGGAGCCAGGAGCCAGGTGCTTTTCCTGGTCTCCCATGGGGTGCAGGGCCCAAGCACTTGGGCCATCCTCCACTGTACTCCCTGGCCACAGCAGAGGGCTGGCCTGGAAGAGGGGCAACCGGGACAGAATCCGGCGCCCCGACCGGGACTAGAACCTGGTGTGCCGGCGCCGCTAGGCGGAGGATTAGCCTAGTGAGCCGCGGCGCCAGCCCCAAGTGCTTCTTAAACAGCGTTTCAACCAACTTTTGTCTCCCTAAGTCCCAATTTATCCTTACTTCAGAAGCATCTGGTGTCCTAAATTCTAGAGTCTCTGGGATAGTGCAGGTTGTCTTGTTTTTCATTCTTGTATTTGTTGCCTTAGGTTTCTGCTTTGTTGGATATAATCGATCCATCTCGGTTCGTCTGTTTTCCAGTTTCCAAACTTTATAGCTGTTGTCTCCTTTTTGTTTTGACCTTGTGGCTTTGTGTGTCTTAACCCCTTTAAAAATAAAAATTCTTTCACACTGTTTTAGAGGAATTTGGGGAAGGGGCTGAGGTCAATTCTGTGTTCAGAGCGTGATCTTCTCACCTTTGAATCTTCAGTCCCATGACTTTTCTGTTTTTAATTTTTTTAAGATTTATTTATTTATTTCAAAGGCAGAGTTACAGAAAGAGAGGGAGAGAGATCTTCCATCTGTAGTTCACTTCCCAAATGGTCACAACACTCGGAGCTGGGCTGGTCCAGATCCAGGAGCTTCTTTCAGGTCTCCTACATGGGAACGGGGAGCTGGATTGGAAATGGAGCAGCCGGGACTTGAACCAGTGCCCATATGGGGTGCCGGTGCTACAGGTGATGGCTTTACCTGCTAGGCCACAGCACTGGCACCAGTCCTATGACTTTCATTTAAAGAACCTCCTTGAGTTTCTTGGAAAGATATCATTATATAATAGATTAAAAATTATTTTCTTATTACTTTGTGAAAATGGGCTGATCTGTAGGATATAGTTCCATCTTTAACCTTAGGATGAAGGATTATGGTGTAGTATTCAAACCAAGCAAGAATTGTTGTTGTCACAGAGAGTTGGTTGGGACCCCAGTTCTTTTAGTATAATCTGAGATAAATTCATCTTTTTACTCATATGTGAGATAAAAATGCCAATCTTAGGAATTTATTGTTAGGATTAAATGAGATTGGGTAAAGAGTGACATAAGGTATGTACTCAAAAATTGTTAGCTTCCTTTCCTTGTAGATATTTTATGGAAAGCTATGTTGTCTTTATTTACACTGTTGATAATGAACTGTTCCAGATAAGAAAATTCTTCAATTCTGTGAAGCTTATTTCTTCTTCTCTCTCTCTTTTTAAATGTTTATTTATTTGAAAGGCAGAGTGATGAGAGAGGGGGAAGGTCAGAGAAAGAGATCTTCCATCTACTGGTTCACTTCCCAAATGGCTACCATGGCTAGGGGATGGTTCAGGCAAAAGCTAGGAGCCCAGGACTCCCTCTGGGTCTCCAATGGGGTGGCAGGAATCCAGGTACTTGTACCATCATCTGCTGCTTTCCCAGGCATGGTAGCAGTGAGCTGGATCAAAAGCAGAGCAGCTGGTATGTGCTACCTGTGTTGCAGGTGGCTGCTTAACATGCTGTGCCATAATATATCACTTATCACTTAATATGTAGAAATTAATGATTTTTGATGGCTTCCTATGTATTAAATTTAAAGATTTTATTTATTTCAGAGGTAGAATTACAGACACAGAGAGGGAGAGACAGAGAGAAAAGTCTTCCAAGGCAGATTCACTCCCCAAAATGGCCACAATGGCCAGAGCTGAGCCGATCTGAAGCCAAGGAGCCAGGAGCTTCTTGCAGGTCTCCCATGTGGGTGCAGAGGTCCAAGCACTTGGGCCATCTTCCACTGTTTTCCCAGACCATAAGCAGAGAGCTGTTTCGGAAGAAGAACAACACGAACTGGCACTTATATGGGAAGCTGGCACCACAGGCAGAGGCTTAGCCTACTATGCCATAGTACCGGCCCCTATGTGTTATACTGAATATAAGTTTTGCATATTTATTTGATGACTCCACAACTATCTTTCTGGCTGTTAC